CATGACACTATACCATTCAGAGTTAATTCATAGTAGAGGCTCCTTTTATTTTGTTTTTAAGTAGAGAAAAATATATCTATAATATCACTTTTATGTTTTCGATAACGTATCTCAACAAATAATTACAACCAAACGAAAAATTTATGATTTCACAAACGTTGATCCACATAAATAACTCTGAATTCATTTTTATTTGTGAAAAAATTAAAACACTACATAACTAATAATGTACTTCTTTCTAAGATAATTTAAAAATTAAAACCTCAAGTTGTGTCTATATTTATTATTTTTTCGTAAAATACGTAAAATGCATTTAACTTTAAGTAGCACTTAACTTTTTCTTCGCGTATTTCCAATGTTTGTACATAAAACACCAATTATGATAAATTTGTTTGTATACACAATGGGTAACGCTTTGCTCACAAATAAATCGATTCTAATTCTTGTAAGAACTCTAGACGTGGAATAATATCAATGCCCATAACCGCAAATGTGAACTTGTGGTCATCATCAAAATTAATTGACACTAAAATAATTTAAATAATTTATGATTTATAAACATTATAATATATTATCTTATACGACTTTCTGATAAATAAATAAATTTAGAAATCATATTATTGGTTCTATAAAACGATGATTCTGTTTTTATTTTCTGTGAACACTTCTTTGAGTGTTGAAAACACCGCTATAGTTTTGTGTAGCAAATCATTGGACTGAGAACTGAAAATAATTTCAGGAGATCGTGATAGATTATTTCTGAAGTTTTCGTAAGCGAAAAGAAAATTCAAAAGAGAAATTACAAATTATTTTGACTTTCTAAAGTTATTTTATTTTATTTTATTTTTTTTGTGAGTATTTATTTTCGTAATGAATACAAAAGTATTAATTACAAAAGTAAACTTCAGTGTAAGTATTATACATTTTTGATCAATAATTCTTCGAATTTTGAAGTTAAAATATTAGTAACATTCTCAGTGATCCATGGTTTGGCATGAGATTTTAATTTTAAATTCTAATGCGTTAAACAACATTGTTTTCATAACTATCGATATCTTCAATTAATTTTAAATGGTAAAATTTAAGACATAATAATTTTTTTTTAATCACAATTAAGTGTAGTAAGGCAGCGGAAATATTTGCTTAAACATCATTAAGCAATTAATGACAAAATTATGATAAATTATTTCTGAAAGAAAATAAACCTTTTTATATTTTTATTTCGGTATCATTCATATAAGATCTTGTGTCATTTTTTTGCATTTAGCTCTTTAGGAGGTTACCGTGTACTTATTGTAAGAGTTGACCCTTTAATTAGTGGATTTAAATAAGGACACTGACTTCGATGAAATCTTTTGTTAAAGCTGTTAATTTCTTTGTTTAAGGCTTTATATTTCATGTGTATAAACATTGTTTAATAAGATGAATCGATATTTTTTATTTTCATGCGTAGTATACTTTTTGATATTAAATTTTAATTTTAATATGTACTTATATATATATTTAAATTTTTTTACTAAAAACTATATATATATATAAAAACTATAATGCATAGCATAAATGGCAAATCTATTTTTATTAGGAAAAACAATAAGTCTGGGTCAATATGAAACAAGCATTTTTTTAAGTATTAAAAAAATAAAGTTAAACATAAAAATAAATAAAATATTTTGTCCGAAAAAAACACCGCGAAAAATTCTTGAAAGGGTAATAGATATATAGTTATGTTGACTGAAATATTTTTAAAATATTTTTATAAAATTTTAATATATAATACTATGCAATATAACTTTATCGGTTACTTGACATTAATTTAATAAAAAATTGTTTCACGGAGGAATGGAGTTAAATTAGTGTTGATGAGAAAAAATATCGAAAGAGTTGTCTATAGGTTAGAAAGATCGCACAGTAATTTTTACTTTATGACCTTTACAAAAATATATCTTATATATAATCTATAATAATATATATATAACCTGATAACTAAGCCCGACATGTATTAGTTTAAAATATAATATAAATAAACAGGTTATAGTTATAGATAAGTTATAGATACTTGAAATAATCAATAGTTTGTAGATTATTCTTGTTGGAACATAATTCTTTTTTTTTCTTCTTCAATTTGTAATGTAGTTTTAATGTACAATAATATAGCATATTTTTGTCTGAAAGTCGATAAACTAGTTCAAAATACAAAAAAGTACATTTATTATCAAAATTGAAACAACGTATACTTAGTGATTTAGAGAGCAAATTGTAGAAGTTCCAGTCCAATATTTGTACATTATTTGTTAATTGTTTCTATGTTTATTCGTTTAATATGTAGCGTGTAAATATAAAACGTGTACCTATTTATTCTATACTCGTGCACATTTAATATGAGTGCAAAAGTGGTATTAAAGTAAAGCATTTTTAGCATCAGTGTCTTTTAGAATCTCTTATATATTTTTTTGAAAAATTTTAAAATGGATTAACTGATCCGAAAGAGTGGTTGGAGTTAATACAGATACAGTTTTTCGGCTTGAATATCATACTTGGTATACCTAATAAATTGGAATTTTTCAAATTAATACACTCAAAATAGTCTAAATGTATTTTGATATTATAATGATGGTTAAAAGTATTCTTCAACTATAATAATGTGTTAGAGCAGCGGTTCCTAAACTTTTATGACCACGGTACCCTAAAGAAATAGTTTTTGTTTCGTGGAACCCTAATTTTTCTAATTTAAACTTAAGCCCAATTTTTTAATTATTTATTGAAAAATCAACACTCCAAAAAATGTTTTAAGTATAATTCATAATTATTGTTTACTATAATTACTGTTCTCAATATTCATATACATCTAGTGGAATCCTTAAGATTGTCTCACTGAACACATTTTGGGAATCATTATGTAAGACAATATAATTTAAATAATACAATATTATCTAGGTCTGGGATGAGATATAGAAAACTCAAAAAGATTTAAGCACTTAATTCTATAACTAAAATATGCTGAAATTATGACTAAAACAAATGAAAATTGCATATGTGCTCTGAAAAGATCCTTTGTTCATCCTCCGATCATTTGAAACAGTAATTTTGTATTAAGTTTTATGGGCGTACCGCAGCTCAGTATAATAATATAAAAAATGCTGTCAAATCACCACACCATACAGGCATCATTTTCCATGTCAAGTTTGTAATAATAACTATGATGCATCTTCATCGGAGCATCCGAGTTGGGTCCCGAGTACTAGGAACTTATCGCAAGTAGTGTACTAGTTGAGTCCTGAATTATTTTAGGTATTACACTAGTTCCTGAATATTTTTTGGTTAGTACTACATTATACTAATATTTTTCTTCCCATTTTAACAGACTTAGAATATCTATGATTAATTTAGACTACAGGTATGGTTAAAAATGTTTTTTTTATAGTTTCTTTTCTATTAAAATATAAATTATTAGAATTTTATTGGTAATAATATTGAAAATATTAAAATTGTATTAATATTACTGTATAATATTTTTATTATTGAATATTACTAATATTTTATTTTTAATACTTTTATTACTTAATAATAATTTATATTATTATATGAATTATAGAATTTTAAAAAAATATGGTCCTGTTGTCTAAATAGATCATAGACAGTCCTAAGTCAGTTAAAATGAGAAGGAAAATGTTAGTATAATGTAGTACTTACCAAAAAATATTCAGGAACTAGTGTAAACCTAAAATAATTTAAGACCCAATTAGTGTATTACTTAAAATAATTTGGGATCCAACTAGTGTAGTAAGTTTAAATTCGGGACCCAATTCGGATGCAGCCATTTTCATATATGATTTATTTTTGTCGTTATCTTTATACGTTATCTGAAATAATATATTGACCGCTTTCATATCTATATATTCATTAAGTTTTGTGAATAATGTACCAAGAACACAAATTATTGTTTAAAAAAGTGTAAGGATTGCCATTTGTCTAATGATCATATACTGATATTAATGTTTATCAGTAGTTTACATGAGTAGTTGTTGTGATATTATCTTATTATTATATATAATAATAACATTTTTAATAATTTAATCAAACGCCTATCATCAGTAATTGCTGAGGCCCTTCAATAGTAATAATAATATGGAAAAATAGTAATTATATTGGAATAATCATACTTTATTTTTAACATAAACTGCTATATTTTAATGTGACCTATCTTACATAATTTATACAGATAGAGTATGTGTAATGTGTGTATATAATGAGAATTACAATTATTAATTATATTATAATTGATTGGATTTTTTTTTTAACTGATTTACAAAAGTAACATAAGTGATAGTAATGAAGTATCATCAATCAAAGAAATATTAACAAATTACGTTGTAAATTTATGAAAAAAAAAGTTATTTAATAAACGAAATCGAAAAAGAATAATAAACTAAAATGTAAAAACTGTAAAATTATTATTAATATTATCTTCTTTTTCTCCTTCACCTTTATCCCAATTATTTAGGGTCAGCCACACTTGTCCTAAAATCTCTATTAATATTAATATTATGATTAAAAAAAAATAAGATAAATATCAATAGGCGTTCGTAAAATTACATATTAATTATATATTAGTTTTATTTTTAGATTGCTATATAAATATATATATTCTCGCATAAAATATATAGAAATCGACAAGTTTAAGCAAAAAAAGTTTAAATAAAATGTAAATGTAAATTTCGCAATATGCCTCGTGAAAGTTGAAATGCTAAAAATAAGAAATACTAGGTTATCATTATTGAATTATGAGTTATTATGTTTAGTATTTATATTATTCGAGTAAAAATGATATCAGTAAAGCATAAATCACACGAGATTACGTTCATTTTTTTTTATTTTTATTTTAAATTTTATTTCTGAGTAACACATAACACACTTATTTTCCGCGGGGATTTTCGCACGCGCACATCAACAACACACACCCTTTGTGCATCCCGGTGGAGGTCGCAGCTTGGCGCCGGATGTATTTAGAATTTCAGTTGGCGCGGTGACGGCAGTCGATAGCGTTTTGTGCCGTGTTAAAGATGAAATACATCGACAGTATAATGTAATGTTTTAATTTAATATCTATGTTTTTATCGACTATTGCTAGTGAATTTGATATTTTCAAAACTTTTTCTGTGAGTATAATATATTTCTTATTTTAATTATAAATTTTAATAAATCAAAAGTATTAAATGTAATAATGTACATATATTATGTATAATAAAAAATATAATTATTTATGTAGACTTAAATTTGTCATAGAACTCAAATTGCTTTAATTTTGATATGTATCAGACACACATGCTATTTATAATTATACTAATATACAGACACACCCGTATACTTGCATACATAAAATATTCTTAGATTTAATAAAACACTTTTAAGGTTATTTAAGTTAGGTATGAGTGATTCAATTTGTTGGAAATGTTAGGTTATTAAAAATATTATTGGATATTTATATTTTGTTAAAAAACGATATACTGAAAATTCTAATGGTTTTTCATAACTTTTCAAAGATTTTTATATTTATTTAATATTAAAAACTAGTTTATCTTTGTATTTCTAGAGAGCTGAATTAATTAAATAATATAAGTTATATATTTTTTGTTCTATGTATACTATTAAAACAACCGAATTTTCATTTTAATAAAGAAAACACTTGAAAGTACACACTTAAATAAATGCATAAATATAAACGACGAAATTGTAAATTTAAACATTGATTTTAATATAGATCACAATTACATAATTTGTAGACATTTATGTTAAACTATTCAAAATATTGAAATCTAAAATAAAATTACGTTCCAAAATGTGTAGAATTAATGTATATTGTTAAATCTGTTTATTAACTTATTATAATTGCATATTTTGTTAAAATCTTATCTTGCTAACGCTATAATTACATTTAAATTAAATAATTCATACAATTTTAACGTGGTTTCTTTTTACTTAAATTTTACTAAAATAATGGTTTATATATTTAAGTAATTTTTAATTACTTAGTAGAGTTTTAGAACAAAACGATTTTATTTTGCATATTTAACACTTTTATCCAGATTAAAGATTTATGAATTAATTACAACAAATTATTATTTAAATATTTATTGTAAATTATGAACGAACTAATAATTTAACTCTAGGAAATTATTTCATTCGTATTTTTATAAATAAGTTTTGAATAAGTAAATGGTATATTATGCAAATAACTTAATTTTGAATTTAAAATAGTGTTATTTTTATTAATTAAAAAAAAAAAAATTAATTATTCTGCTCATCTAGATTTATTTCTTAAATAATCTACTTGTTTTAGGATTTAATGAAATATCTTCCCTTGAATAAATGTCATTGATGCTTTAATTGTGTTAATTTCTAAAGTTAAACATTTTTTATATAATTTTTATTAATTTTATATTTATCTACCCATGGAATTTCTTCAATTATTTCAAAAATTAAATCTTACAATGATAAATATAAGTTTTGAATTTAATATTTATAGAATTCACCAATGTTTGATGACTTAAATTAATTTCTAAGGAACAAAAAATATGAATTTCGTTAAAAAAAAATATTATTTTTATTTTATTTTCGACAAATTTTATTATTCGCCTAGTTTTTAATTAAAATATCTATAAAAATCTACATTAATCCTAGTGATCAAATATTTTGTTAAATTATTTTTATATTATTTTGTACACTTCGTTGGACTTCAGTTACCACGCATAAAACAATTTAATTAACAGAAAAACTATTGTATAAGTTTGATTATAGATAGGGCGGATTTATTCCAGATTTATGGAAAGCACTACACTAAATATGTCCAATCTCGAACATTTACTCAAAGAAATAAATTATTTTGTTGATAGACTGCTATAAAAATGTTTGTTTTGTAATTGAAAAAATAATGTTTTTTAAAAATGTAAGGACTTATTTTTTTTAATTTGAAAGGCGAAGGAGTAAATAAATAATGAAAAAAATATATATAAGGAGTTATCTTATATTCTAATTATTTAGTATAAAGCATCAAGAATTAAATTGGAAAAAATTAAATACGATGATGGGGTATCAATGTATAGAAAAATAAAATGTATTGAAATATTCCATTGTTTTTGGTTATTCTTATAATGTATAGAATTTATATCTATGAATTATTTTTGTTTTCACGGATGTATACGTTTTCGGCTAAAATACATACCTTTTAATTTTTGGCACAATATTTCAGTCATCAATATATGTCTTTAAAATCTTAAACTTTTAAACACTTAATTTTAGTTTCGATGTGTTCGGAACTTGTACATTAGTACTGTTGTTGAATTTCTTTAAACATTTTTCGGTAAAATATACATAACCATCCTCAGTCTTCTTTTTAAAACTTGTATTAATAATTTTGAAATTAATAATATTCGTTTTATATGACTTGTAATTGTAGTATTTTCTATGATCTCTTTATTTACATTATAGTTTATAATTTAACAACATTGCAGGTTAGATTTGCAGGATTAATCTACACAGTTAAAAATAAATTGAATAAACTAAACGAACACAAGCAAGTTAATACGAGTTAATTATAGTAGTATATATAATTCAAATGTAGATTAGTTAAGTAGTAAAATACAGTGAAATTGCAATATCGAACGATAAAAGTTAATTGCTATAGCACGTTTTATTTTATCAGAATAAGATAATGATGATAGATATTCTTTATAGTTAAATATTATTTATCGATTGTTAACAATTTATAGATTTTGAATTTCCTCTCACAAAATAATTACACTTTTATACTGCCAACTTCTTTTTTGATACTTTTTAGTTGTCAGTGTAACTCAATATAATTTTAAATTATTTTCTTTACATCTATATTACAGTAAAAAATAATTAAAATAGTTTATTATAGTTAAATTTAACAACAATTATAAAATTAAATTAATTATTTTATATCCATTATACTAATTTGTAAAAAAAATATGCAGTCTAAAAAAAAAAAACAACACAAAGATGGATATCATCGAATAAACTGTAAAAAGTATCCTGCTTGCTTTTTTTCATTTAAAGGTAAAAGCAATAACTAAGCGCTATGACAATCTATCTACTCATTTTATTTTTTTAGATGTCTCATTTTGTCCCGATCTCCCCTGTAATTATTTTATATGACTAATCTGTTAAAAATTAATAATGTTATCGATTATAGCAATAGGTGGATTAGTTTATTTTTCTATAATTTATAAGCAGTGTTGCACAAAGATAACCAATAAATTATCTAAATAAGATAACAGATTGTGGTGGGCCATCACAACAATGCTCCCTCACTGAAGTGACGCGATACCACGGCTGGCAATTGTACCTTTTGTAACATTTCCGGTCATTTATTTTTAGGTAACTTACTTGAGTAAATTACTGGTAACATTACTTTTTCATGATAATATTGGGAAATTTATTTTTACTTAATTGAATAAAATTAATACCTAATTGAATTAAAAAAAGTAATATTAACTATTAATTTTTATTTATTATTTTAATAATAAAATACCTAAATGGCTACAATGGACTCTAAACTTTTTTTTTTTTTTTAATAAAATTAATTCTTTATTTCCATTAAATATTATATTTCTTTATATAAAGCTTTGAAATATTTTTATACAATTATATCTATTAGTCAATATAGGTATTTATTAAATTTTATAAATGTTAAACAAAAGTACAAAAGTAAATAATATAATTTTATCAGGAAATAGAAAATTAGAAATAAAAAACATACCTATATTTTAGTATAATACAAAATAGTATTTAATTTCAAAAAAAATAATAAAGTCTCAGGCGAATAAAAACGATCTGTCGAGTCTTAAATTGTATAACATATATAGCCTATAAATGATGTATTTATACTTATCTTCATCAATAATCAGTACGATCAGAATATGAATATCAGAATTCAAAATGTATGAATAATATGATTAAAAAAATTAAATACTTGTAAAGTAATAAAGTAATTTATATTTATTACTTTATCGATAAATTACTTACTTTATAATACTATACCATAGTAATATTATCGACACACATTTCTACTTGCCTCCATCGAACACCTCCGGCGTCGCGACGATGAGCCCACGCTCGTTCTCTGCTCTCGACGCGTCATCTTCACATGAAAAAAGTTATTTTTCCGACCATATTTAGCGTCGCACG